GGGCTGCGTCGGACATGGGTCATTACCAGAGAAACAGATCTTTCTCATTCAGTCACCTCCGGTCCTCTTGTGGCTTGGTGGGTGAGGCTCTGATCTCTCTCCCAAACTAACACCAGTGGGAAGGTGGGTCACACTTCCTTTCTCCTCTCATAGTCAGGGCAGCTCAAGTGCTAAAGAAATCCCTGTATTTAGAACCCACTTTGTGACTTCAACGAGAAGTAAGATGCTGTGTTGGAAGCACCAGGGCAGGCTGCTAAGGGGAAATGGAAACAACACCATTTTTAGGGGAAATTAGAAGACCAGGTCAGTGCCTGCTCTCACAGTCCTGCCGGAAGACCAGACCGAAGGCTGGACACATTGTCAAGGTCATTTCAGATCTGATTATTCTCCTTCTGTGATGATAATGGTAACAAAAGTAACATCTTTTATTTCCAGAATTTTTCACCTACAATCTCCTTTGAATAGCTTCAGGGAAGGTGTTTTGCATGTTCTATGGGAGATTAAGTGTGCTCCCCACCAGACCTCAAGGGTAAATGAAATTTCACGTGGAGGTGCGTGCCATCGACCAGCTTAGGATCCATCCTTCTGTCCTTGACACCAAAGATGATTTCACAGAAGACACAGCTGGCCTCCACATGCCCAAACTGGTGGCACACTTTTAACAAAGATGATGTGTTTCAGAGACACAGTCAATTGAGAAAATCACAATGGACACTGAAGTGACCGAAGAGATTTGGGGAAACTTCCCAGAAAGCAAGGAATAGGACCGAGAACGGAAATAATGTTCGGAGCTATGAGGCAGAGAAAGAAGAGAGCAGGGCTTAGGCATAGGTGTGCTTGTCCAGCATGTATGCCATTCTGCTACATGCTCCTCAGAAGAAAAATGGGGCTGTGTGGTCAAATAAGTTGACGGTATCTCCTTTGATGGTGTGCGTGTTAGCTGAACAAAGGCTCTGAGAAGTCTGCAGTAAAAGCTGTTACAAGACATTATTTAATCCAGAGGCTTCCAAGAATTGTAACTACAGTTGCTTTTCTTCCCCAGCTCTGGATCAGGGTTGTATGAAGTATACTTTGAGAAATGCTGGTTTGAAGCAAGAGCAGGGAGAGAGAGGATGGCCTATACTTTTGGTTTCCATAGCTCTGTTGTCCCAAACAATTACTACAATGATCCTCATTGTAGTAATGAGACAACTAAGACTTGGAGAAGTTAGTGCCATTACAAAATTTTCTTTCGCTCAGCCATATTTTTATGCTGTGTGTAGGAGGTGCCACAGCCATCATCCCCTTCATTTTGTCCCAGTCCTCCCCCAGGTGAATCTGTAATACTCATTGAGAACTTCCCCCATCAGCCACCCACTTCTTTCTACTCCTCAAACATATTTTATAGTTGCGGGGAAGCAGACCCTGTGGCTGCACAAAGCTCTCATGGAAACCTATCCAGGGTGGATCTGCTGAACCAAGACCTTGCAACCTTCATCACCTGGTGAAGGGTCCAAAACACTGACTGAATGCTGGTAGATGGAAGTTGATGAGTAGGCACTGATGTAGGACTGAGGGCTCCTTCTATTCTTAGTCACATGTGAAGGCAGATAAGCTGTCTCACGCCTCTGCCCACCCACACCATGGTGTCAATGGTGGTCTCAAGCACGGTGACTTTGACTACATAGTCCTGGGCTTCCTAGAGGAAACACGAATGTGTGACCCACTGCAGTGCCACTTGAGATGTGACAGGAAATCTCCAGGTCCGGAGAAGAGAGCCCAACGTAACCCACTAAGCAAGAACAAGGTTTAGTTTTTGGTTTCTATATTTCTGTTGTTCCCAAAAGATAAGGGAGTCTTTAGTCCAAGATTTTAGCACTGTGTGCTTAATGCTTTCCTTCTGTAAGGAAAATACTCTACTAGAACCAATCACCTGTTCACACACAACCATAGATTTTCTTAGATCAGTTATACAACACAGATCACCAGGTCCCATTCTTCCCCACCACTGGGTGTTTTAATATAATACAGTTGACCCTGATGCTACTTGGATCAATTGTTTTGCCAATTCTCCACTATACTGGATCAATTGTTTTCTCAGTTCTCTGACATTTATCACAAGAATCCCATCCCCCAATTAGAGCAGCATCACTTTACCATCCCTAGCCCCAAACAGGCCAAACAACCAATGTCCTGGGGGCCTGCTGCTGCAAACACCTCACTTCTGGTTTTGATGATACATTATCAGAGTCTTCACACAGCAAGAAGATTCTGGGTCCCATAAACAAGAAACACATTAATGACTACATATTGAATACCACAGGGTATCTGAGGAAGTTAGAGAACCACACTTGGAGGCCACACAGCTAAGGAAAATGGTCCCCACCTACCACTGACTGGGGGAGACCCCAAAGTTGAATAGTAGATGCTGCTACTAGAAACAGTATACAGCTCCTGCTGTTGCTAGTCTTTCAGTCTCCACCCAGGGGCAAAAAGACATCAGTACTGTCTCGGCTTTGGGAGACTTTATTTTTTGATCCAAAATTAGGAACATTTCTGAAGGAAAGAGCTGATGTAATTTGTTGTGCTGGAAAGATTTCCCTAGAGTCAGACCCTGAGATAGGGGTTAATATGCAAGTGATGCAGTATATTTAAAAATGGTTTAATAATACGAGATATAATGTCATAATAAATAAAATCTCATCCATATTTAATTCTTGCATTTGGGAATTGGATAGTGTAGTAGAAAAATTTATAATTAGAACATCTTGGGTTTAGATGTGACACTAACTAGCTGACTAGCTATATGTTTTTATTTTATTCAAATAGAACGGCCAGGAAAAAAGTGTAGGCTCCCACTTAAGTTTTTCAGATAAGCAACAAAATTGCTTTAGAATTTTTTCAATTGTTATTTCACATGGATCATACATGTACTAAAATTTATGTCATTTTTAATTAAAATGTTTTAATTGCATGAGACATGCATATACTAAAAGTAATTATTTATCTGGTACTCAGTTTTATGGGGGCAGTTTTGGGGATTGATCCCAGAGCCCCTTGCATGCTAGGTTAGCACTGTACCAATAAGCTGTAGCCCCCACCTCTCCACATTGAGATAGGAGTCTTAGTAAATTGCTTTATCCTCCCTAGGACCTACTGAGCTCAGTCAGACACTCACACTGAACTGTGCTTTCTCTAATTTATTTACAAAATCCAGCAACTCTCTGTTCAAATTCCTTACCTTCCCTGATCCTCAAGTTTCCATAACTGTGAAATAGTTTGCTCCCTTGTCAGTCTGCAGAAAACACTCCATGAGTAGCTGTGACTTTTAATTGTTCTAGGACAGTTTATTCTTCATGCGGCAGCTTAGGAGACCAGAAAGGGCGCTTGGAAAGCATAGGAGTAAGGTGTTTTGATATTTTCTCTGCTGTCTGATACATGATCCAGCCCAACTGCTCCCTTATCAGATGGAAACCTGTAGGACGTGGAGGGTACAGTCGCTTAATGTATTGTCTGCATTCCAGCTGATTGCCTCCCAGCTGGCCAGCCAGCGCACATTGTTCCCCATGCTGGGCTTCTCTGCTGGCCTGCAGGAGGCAGCTAATGGCAAGGCTGTGCAGCCCAGCGGGTACCTTCTTCCCAGGGACTGCCCCGCCCCTTGCCTCTTCTGTCCATGACATTAAAAAAAAAAAAAAAAAATCACAGCTCTGCTTTACTGAGCAGCTGCTTCCTTTGGGATTTATTATCTTTCAGGCCTAAGTTACTACGGGAAAATCCAAGAAAAATGATGGTTAGACAATATGCAACATGATCATAACCAGAGGTTTTTGAATATTTAAGCCCAAATAATAATGATTGGCTAGTTGAATTTCAAAATATTCCCACTGTGTTATTTCTAGGGGCTTGGGGGAGAAGGATGAGATTATATCATATGTTTGGTCTGAGATCTTAAAACAAAACACGATTCTTTTTAACAGCACTCATGAAATGCTTTCTGTGGTCTCTTACTTGGTTCTCGGGGTAACTGGGAGCAGAATCCCAGAATCCTGCATTGATTCATCAAAACTTTAAGACGACTTGCTCAAGGTCAAACATCAGTTCATCAGCAGACTTGAGCGGAGAGTTCTGGAAGCCTCCTCTTCCCATTGTCCACTGCTGTCCCTAGGTCACAGAAGACTCAGAGAAGTGTGCTTCTCCAGCTCTGCATCTTTCTGTCCCAACTAGGTTTTGTCCTTGAAATGATACTGATATAGAAGGAAAGAAGAACTGCACTACAGTCCTAAGACCCAGTCCTGCTTCCTTCCTCCTTTCCTTCTCAGGGGCCAGACTAGAATCCCACTCTGAGGATTCTCCCTTCCTGCTCCCACAACCTTCCCTTGTTCTAACACAGGGATTTCCTCTGATAATTTCTTCACCTGCCTAATGCTATGTTGGTATTTTCTTCTTGGAAGTCTCCAAGTTACACAGAAGAGAATCCCAAGAAGCACAGTGAGAGAATAAGGAGAAGAGTAAGAGGGGAAAGGAAGCCCATAGTGTCAGGAAGGAGCGTCTGTCGGCAGCTGGAGGTTCAGTCCTGCCTAGCTTTCTGAGCTCACCTCAGAAATATATTACCAAGAGCCGTGAGACTTGGAGTATTATATAGAACACCTCTCCCTCCCTGGGTGAGGGTCGCCCGGGGCAGTAACTGTCTTGTGCTCCAGAGTTGACTGCACAATATAGTCAGCAGCAACACTGAGTCCGGAACAGGCAGTCCCAACCCAGAGCCCAAGCTCTTACTCACTGACTAGCGCAGTACTTGACAGCTTGAGATCAAAGCCACCATCATATCCATCAGGCACTATGTTTTGTTTTTGTTTTTTTTTCTCAAATTAGGAATAATTTGACTGTTAAAATCTTTCTTACTAAAATTGGCTATACTAGTAGAGTGGAAAATTTTTCCAACTAGTTTATGAAAGACCATAGTCTCGCTGCATGACTTTGGGTAGATAACTTCACCTCTCTTTGTGTCTATTTCTTCACAGATCAAAAAGAAGATAAAAGTAGATCTTGCTGACCTTACAGGACTGTTTTGAAGACCTTTCGTGAGTGTGTTTACGAAGGAGCTTTGTGAACTGTTCAGTGCTATTCAAGCAGAATGGATCGTGCTTCTTGTATAACCTTGACTTTTCTCCCTACTTCCCTGCTGCACTGTTTCTGGAACAAATGCATACGTTGTCCTGTCCGCCCCCCACTTCCACCCCCACTGTGTTATGGGCATCCTCCTCGGATTACAAAACTGGTTTCTCAATCTAATCGGCACAGGATGTTTCCTTCCACGCCCACAAGCTTAGATAACAGCGATTTGAGGATTTGTAATTCATCCTTCATTGATCAATGTTCTTGAGTGTTCTGCACTTGCCTGAACCCTGTCCTATTCAGGTGTAGAGCCAGAGGCTTTGATACAATGGACAGCTTCAGGACTCTCTCCTGACAGGGCAGCCTTCTCAACCTTGTCTTTCTAAGAGGGTTCTTCAATCTTAGTGGGTCATTCACCCCTCCGAGATTCTTGTGAAAGCAAAGTCCTCTCTCATAAGAAAGAAATGAAGATAAAAACATATGAGACTATGTCCATGCACACGTCCACATAGACCTTCTTGTACATACCCACCACGTACACCTTCTTCCGGTCCCATTTTGCAGGTGATCACAGTCCTTCAAAATCGATGGCTGAAACTCCAGGGTCTCCGAATCAGCTAGATTTAGCTTTCAATACTAGTCGTAGGCAAAATAACTAACAATGACTCTGGTACACAATAATTGCTCAATAACTAAGAAGTGTCCTTATCCCTAAAGCAACATCATCTTCACAAACATCACACAGTTTCAGAAAATTTTCAAGAAAAAGGCCACCCAGTCCAACACAGTTTCTTCAGGGAAGAGGCTGGCGTCGGCTGCGGTGCAGCTGGTGTTGGCTCTCCCTCTACTGGCCGTAGGGCACATTCACCCATCCTTCTGATTCCAGTAAGTGTTGGGCTAGGTCTGAGGCACAAGAAAATGGGGTCAAAAGTGGGAGACAGGGAGCAAAGGAGAACATGGTTTAGTTCTGAGCAGTGCACATCCTGAGAAAGCTAAGGATTGAGAATTGTGTTGGTCCCTTTGTTTTGTACCCTTTTTTTTTTTTATTGTGCTCCAGCTACCGAATGTGCTGACCCAGTTCCTTCTGAACGTGCATCTGTTCTGGAAGAGACATCTTGACAACAATATGCCTAAGAGTCAGCCTCGTGCAAACCCTGGATCTCACCATAAGGTTTGCCTTATTCTTGACTGGGACTTAGAGTAGAATGCAAGCAGCACAGGTATAAACTGCATAGAGTAATGGCTAGTGCCGCCCTTCCTAGCAGAGGAATTATTTCATGGCAGCCTGAGCTCTCTGAGCCTCAGTTTCCTCCTCTATTAAATAGAGCTCATACAGGTCCTCACCTGCTAACACTGTTATAAGGATTAAGTAACTCATTGGGTGCTGAGTGGAAGGTGCAGTAACAAGAAAACTTAGTAGTCACTAGGTATTAGCAATGGTATATTCATTCTAACATAGAAATGGTATATTACAAGCCTTTGTTATATTTAAAACTCCACATCAATACTTGCTTGTTGCATGAAATTGAACCACTTAAAATTATTCATATTTGGTTAGTTTGGACCTGACAGAGACAGCAGCTTTTCAAACAATTTAATGTACTAGAATAATTAGAAACCAGCCATGACCCACAGGACTACCCCCCAGAGTCACACGTTCAGGCACACTCTCTTGACATCTTGGAAACATGTAAATAGCTGATGCTAATGTGAAGTCAGAATGCAATCGTGATCAGATCAGGTGTCTTAAAAACATAGTCTGACTCCCAGGTAGTGAAGGAAGGTCCAAGTGTTCTGCAGTGAATGTCAGGACGGCAGGGACAATTTACAGAGACGGCGGGTGATGCTAGCATTCTGCTTGAGGGACACCCAGGGAGTTCTGTTTCTATGGGAGCTTCCCGACACTAGTGGCCTGTCCCTGCACCCATCCCTCCCTCGGGGCAGACTGCTGCTTCAGCAGATGCACTTGGCTCTGATAGGAAGGGATTCAATCCTGACAGGCAATTTCATCGGCCCCTTAAGATGAGATGAGTCGTTGCTTTGACTTTGTAATTTCCCAACCACTTTGAGTAATCAGGGTTTCTGCTAGCGCACAATTACTTATTAAAGTTTGGTGGAGTTCGGCCTACCATCTCTCTTTGTTGTCTCAAGCTTTTTGCCAACATAAATAACTCTCTGCTATTTTTAGAATGAAGAAGTAGCTATCAAGCTGTGCACAGCCTGGCAGGGCTTAGCAATGCAGCGTGAGAGCTTTCTCAGTGTTCAGCGCTACTCCCCCCATAAAGCGGGTAGAATGGCCAGGGCTCGGAAGGATCTGCTCTTTCAGTCTTCTGGCCCTGGGCTGATAAAACTCTTACTAACAGAGATACAATGTAACAATTGTGCTGTAATTCTCTATAGAGACCCTGTCCCCAGCACTACAAGTTAAAGAATTCGTGATTGGCTATGCAAAGAACACTAAGTTAGGACACAACAATCTTGGGCTCTCTGATCTGACTTCGCTACTCACTGCCTCTGGACCTGAGGAATTACCCATCCTTTTGATCTGTCATTCCCCAAAAGAAAAATTAATGAAATTGAGTCCAGTGGTCTCTACGTTTCTTTCTATGCTCTCCGTATTCCTAATGGAAATCCCAGATAGCAATGGAAACCAACAACCATTCTCTTTTTTGTTTTTAGTACAATATTCAGTTAATTACATGAGATACTAACACTTCATTATAAAATATTGGATTAGATGGCTTTGCCCAATGGTAGGCTTATGTGAGCGTTCTGAGCATACTGCAGGCAGGTGAGACTACAATACAATGTTCCGACAATGGATTTAATGGAAAACTGAACTGCTGGTTCACTGAGTCTACACTCTAGGAGGACAGAAGGATCCAAGACTCCAAAAGTCCTGTGGAAAGTTAGAAATTGTGGGAATCTATTTTGTTCATTAAGAGCAAAGTTCAAAGACACAGAGGCAGTGGGAAAGAGAGGAGGAGAGGGATAGAAAAAGAAAAGAAGATGTGTTCGGTACTTGTACCGTGTCCCCAGGAGGAATGGGATCGTTATGCACTGCAAACATGCACAAATACACAATAAAGTTTGAGAAAGAAGAACACTGATGAGAGACCAAAATGGCAAGCTACACTGCAACAGATACACCTGTGAAGGACAGACACCCAACATTTCTAAAGAACCCCTACACAGCAATGAGCAAAAGGCAAGGCAACCTCACAGAAAAGAGGAAAACTATTCCTAAATAGTTTTCTATATATAAAACTATAAATAGTTTTCTATATAACTAAAAAAGTATACAAATAGCTCCAAATTTGTGGGAAAGTCCTCAACTTTATTAGTCATTAAGATAACACAAATTAAAACTGCAAAGACAGACTACACACACGCACACACCCACACACACACACACACCCCAGAAAAGCTAACATTAAAGGGCTAATATGGACCAGAGTTGAAGGAGAAGTGGAACAACTGGTAGTCGTATCCTGCAACTGTGAGCATACAATGGAACAAGCATTTAGGAAAATTTTTGATCATATCCATGAGAGCTGAAAATATACAAATAGTCCCTGATGGCCTTATGACTTATGATTTTTCAACTGTAAAACTGTATCAAAGCATTCCCATACAACCATTCTCTTTTTTGTTTTTAGTACAATGTTCAGTTAATTGTATGATATACTTAACACTTCATTATAAAATACTGGGTTAGATGGCTTTGCCCAATGGTAGGCTTTTGTGAGCATTCTGAGCATACTGAGGGCGGGTGAGACTACAATACAATGTTCTGACAATGGATTTATTGGGAGGTAACTCCACTGTAAATCAAGGAGCACCTCTATATATTTTATTATCCAGAAATTTCATTCTTTGGATATAAACTTAACAGAAATGCAAACATACTTATTTCCAAAAAAATTGTACAAGTAAGCAGCCCTATTCAAGAGCAGCTAAAAACTGAAAGTGACTCAAAAATTCCATCAACAGATGCATAATAAATAAATGCGTTGCATTCATGCATTGTAATTCAAAACAGTAGAGAGTGAACTGCTGTACATAGCTTGGATGAATTTCAAAGTATAATTGTTGAGCAGGAGAAACTAGACACAAAATGATACGCTGCATTATTTCGTTTAGATAAAGTTCACAGACAGGCAAAAGTAATGTCTGCTGTTGGAAGCCAGGGTAGTGGTTTTGCTTGGGGAATACGTTGTCACAAAGGAAATACAAAGTGTTTCCTGGATGGCTCGCAACAGTCTGTTTTTAATCTGGGTGTTAGTTACAGAAACGTGTTTGGTTTGTGAAAATTCATCAGCTGTATGTTTATGATATGTGTGATTTGGAGTTATATTTTATACATCACTAAAAAGATTTCTGTTTGATTCTGGGTGAAAAAAGAAAAAGAATGAGTGCAAGATTTTGCAGCTGGGGATGGTGGTGCACACCTGTAATCCCCACCTCCCAGAGATTCTAAGCTGAGGGTAGAGATGACCCAGTGCATGGCAGAAAAGCTACCATATAAGCTTCAGCCCATTCTTGGAATAGAGATAACTCGCTTTGCTGAGAAGATATGGAAGCAATGTTGAGGTCTTCTCAAGTTGAGTGCTGTATTTTTTGAGGCCAGAACCTTGCAGAGCTCTTTGCCAGACCTGTGAAGATTCATTAACATAAATCCATATCGTTGAACATAGTTGGATTTCAAGAGAGGGAGCAAGAACTGAGCCAAGAGGGAGCGGTGCCGCTGACCTTGGGCAGCTGTTCTGCACAATGCAGACCTAGGATCAGGGAACTACAGGAATAGTACTGCCTCAGCTTTTGGGTTGGAAACCAATTGGTAGAAATCCCAAGTATCTGGTAAATTAAAAATGAACACATTTATTACTTCCTTCTGAATTAAGTAAACTTACCATCCCGTAGACCCTGGGATGACTGTAAGATTTTCTTTATAAAGACTTCTTCTTGAGTGTTAACTTCTGAAAATAAACAGAGAGAGAGAGAGAGGCTGAGCTCCTTCCCAAACACACTAAGCAGATAACAGATAAGTCGCCACTCCTTTCCTGGAGTGGGCATGGGGAAGAATGGAGTTCTTTCCATATGAAATATGAAAGCAAAAGGGACCTGTCCCATCCCTCACATGCTGGGACTCTCTTCCACTGAAGAATTATGCTCTTTTGGTAGTGCATCGATGTAAGACTATGATGAGATTGTCTCTTTGGACCAGTGGCCCAGACTCTGTCTCATGGAGACAGAGAATTAAGAATTCTCTTACAAGGAATTAAGGTCCTCACTATCAGTAATTCTGAAAAGATGCTGGTGTTTACAAAGGAAGCAAAGGCCAAGCATAATCTCAGACTAGGTATGGGTCAATTGTGCCCAAAGCCTGAAGTGGGAAGGTGTGACAGTAGGAAGTGAGCTGAATGGCCAGGCATGTAGAGGAAAAACCATGAGCTGGGTGGTCCAATAATGGTCCCTCGGATGTTGACAATGTTGAATGGCTTCCACATGTTGCGGAGGCTTTCACAGCCCTTCATCTCCCCTGAAATTCCAATGCAGTCCTTCCCACTGCCCAACCCAGGTTGTCTAGGGTTATCTGTGGACCCATCCCATGCTGCAGAGTGAGAACGTTATGGTTTAGGTCTGGACTGTCTCCCAAAGCCTCTTGTGTTCAGAGGTGGGGTCCTGAAAGGTGACTGGGCCATAAGGTCTCTGTAGTCAAAAGTGGGTTCATGAATGAATGAGGTCAGTATCTGAATGTGGTGTAGGAGGTGGGGCCTGATTGCAGGGAGTGGGGTCTGAAAGGGTGCATCTCCCTCCCTGGCTCCGCCCTTGTCTCTCTGCTTCTTTTCTCATAATTTAAGCAGCACATGTAAACAAAGTACTTGTTTGGTGGTCATGTAGCCCATTGGCCAGCTCGTGATAATGAATAACTGCTCAGTGCACAGGACCTTTGTCTATTTTCATTGTTGTATTATCATGATCTGGATCTCTTGGCTCCTATTGTTCTAGAGTGACTGAGTGATAGGCCCTAGTGGCTTTAAAACTATTTGGGGATCACCAGTCAGGCACTTGACATGGATTAGTGGAGAGGGAGGTTTCCAATTTATGCTTCACAGACAGTAAAGATTCGATTTATAGGCAAAAAACAAGAGCTCTACAAAATGCAGCACAAGACCACTGGAAGCTTGGCTGACTGGGAAGAGTGCTGGAGAAGATGGAGGAAGCCGAGAGTCAGGAGAGAAGGAAGAGGAGCAGGATGTTTACACAGGTGATCTTGTAGAAGATCAAGCTTGACATATTGTTAAGACCTGTATAAAGAGTGCAAAACAGCCCTCTCTTTTAAGGGCCATCTTTGAAATTGCAATAAATTCTCTACGACAGAATCTCAGTCAAGTCTAGCATGTAATCTTCTGCTGTCAAGAAGAGTAATGCCGAGTGGTCTGCGTTCTACTGTCTACTCTAAGAGAGAAGAGAAGAAAGTGAGGAAAGGGAAGCTGCTCAGATGGGAAGATGGCGGTTCATTTGCCAAAGCTGCTTTCCAAGGCTCAGCTTGCTCTCTTTGTGGGAACTTTTTATTTTATCAGGATTATGAAAAATACTTTTAGAGAAGCCTTCTTTGGCTAGTTGCTTCCTATCACATCTTTCCTGCAAACTGCAGGTGAGAGAATCTGGTATTAGATAAATTAACACATTAACCTTGTCTCTGTCAGTTAGGAGCTGTGCTGTCTTGGGTGAGCTGTCTCCGTAACCGAGCTCCTATCAGTTTAGGATTAGAGGTGGACCCATCTCACACTGCAGTGTGGAATAAGCATAGCATCTGCTTCTAAGCCTGGATAAGATCAGGTAAAAGAAGGCATGTTATGTGCTTAACGTTACTTGCTTTGTAAGTGCTCGGTGGTATTAGCTGTCACTGTCATCAGCCACAGCACCTTTCTCTTGCTATCTTGAGATAACAAGATGTTATCTCAATGTTATCTCAAACATCTTTTGACAGATAACTTTTTAAATCTTTTGTTTTGAGATAGGGTCTCTCTAAGTCACTAAGTTCCCCTGGCAGGGCTCCAACTTGAGAGCTTTCTGCCTCAGCCTCCCAGAGTGCTAGGATGGCAGGGATGTTCCACTGCACCTGGTTGCACACCACATTTTATAGTGTGTTTCCTAACTCAGCGTCAGAGTCTTAAGGAGGCTCAGTCATGTTCTGGAGGCCACTGTGGAAGGTAAATTTGAGAAAGAGAAACCAAATGAGTTTTACTGTGCTTCCTCCCTGGTGTTTCATCCTGAGCAATTCTGCTGAGAGAGAGAGAGAGAGAGAGAGAGTGTGTGTGTGTGTGTGTGTGTGTGTCCCCTTCCCATTTTATTTTACAAACTCTCTTCTAATTCAGTTACCCACAAATATCTTTGAAGAGCTATTACATCATCAGTATCAGCACAAAAATATTCCAAATAAGTACCAGTGATAAAGATAAAATGCCTTTCACGACTACATTTCTTCTTTCCACACTTGCCCATTTGTCTGCTCCCCACCCCCATAGACAAAATTCCGGAAAGGGAAATCTGCACTTGGTCTCCTCCTCCTCTTCCTCACTGAACCTTGTCCTCTCCCTACAGCTTCCTTCCCACCATGGACACTGCCCTCCTCAGGGCCAGCTCTGCTCCTGGGCTGTGGGGCTCACCTGCCACTTACAGCTCTCTGCAGCAGCGTTTCACCTGCCACCCCTTCCAGGGTCCACGCGCTGACATTGCTCAGCTTCCTACTGCCTAACTGAGCTATTCTGTGTTTTCTTTTCTGATTCTTTCCAATGGCTTGGAAATGCTCCGGAACATTTCCCAGTACCTTTTGCTTGTCAATCCCAGCTCTCCTAGGCTATCTCATCCAGTTCAGTGTCTTTAAATCTCATCTGTGCCACCGCAAAGTTGCAATTCTACTGCACACTTTAACCTATCTTCCTGATTTATATTGTTTATTTATTTTTTTATTTTTTGGTTTTTCTCCGGTACCAGGAACTGAACTCACGACCTTGCGC